GTATGTGAGGGTGTGTGTGTGTGTGTGTGTGTGTGTGTGTGTGTGTGTGTGTGTGGACAGCTTGATTAGACTGGGAGACAGTGGCAGGTGTGTGTCTCTGTGTCAGGAAACGGTAACAGCAGCTCACGCAGGACGTGTGAGGCTGCAGCAGCGTCAGGATAAATATTAATGTGCAGGAACCAGACGATTGGGAGTTGAGTTATCAGGGCGGGTCTTCCTAATTGACATTTTACCTGCTGTATACCTTAAGCAGGCGGTAAAACAGCAGGACAGGCTCAGCTGAGGGGGGACATGTCAGTCAAGACTGTGCCCGTCACCGCTGCCTTCTCCAGGGAGGAGGAGGAGGAAGAGGAGTAGGAGGAGGAGGAAGAGGAGGAGGAGGAGGAGGAGGAGGAGGAGGAGGAGGAGGAAGAGGAGGAGGAGGAGGAAGAGGAGGAGGAGGAGGAGGAGGAGGAGGAGGATGGGAAGAGGAGGAGGAAGAGGAGAGAGAGGAGGAGAAGGAAGAGGAGGAGGAGGAGGAGGAGGAGGAGGAAGAGGAGGAGGAGAGAGAGGAGGAGAAGGAAGAGAAGGAAGAGGAGGAGAAAGAGGAGGAGGAGGGGAAGAGGAGGAGGAAGAGGAGAGAGAGGAGAAGGAGGAGGAGAAAAAGGAGAAAGAGGAAGAAGAGGAGGAGAGAGAAGAAGAGAGGAGGAAGAGGACAAGGATTGGAAGAGGAGGAGGAGAGAGAGGAGGAGAAGGAAGAAGAGAAGGAGGAAGAGGAGGAGTAGTAGGAGGAGGAGGACAAGGTGGAGGTGGAGGAGGAAGAGGAGTAGGAGGAGGAGAGAGGAGGAAGAGGAGAGGGGAGGGGAAGAGGAGGAGGGGGAGGACGAGCAGGAGATCTCATTGTTGAGATTCTGCACTGAGTTGTGACATGAAGTCTTTTTAACATCAGGATATGAAAACAGTTTAATGAAGAAGAATAAAGACGGGCCTCTGACACAGTCGGAGATTTTCACACCGTTGTTAAATTTTAATGGATGAAAATATTGTAATAAAACAGAGGACGAGAACACATCGTCACACATCCAGGTTTCTTTTAAACACTTGAGCTCCGTTTATGAACCATCTTTAAGAACATCGAGTGTTGATGAAGTTTAAAATGAGCTGTGAGCTTGATCTTATTCTAAGTCTCGACTGAAACACGACTGGATAATCTTGTTTCATCTGTTTCAGTATTTGAACATTTTTAAACTGATTCTATAACATGAAAACTTAAGCGTTAAAGGGGACTTTAGTTTAGTCGATCTCTTTTTAACGGTTTGGTAAAATACAAAGTGGTTAGTGTGTGCTCCATCCTCCAGGGTTTGAATCTGACCTGTGGCTCCTTTCCCACATGTCGTTCCCCACTCTCTCTCTCTCTCCTCCCTCATAACTCTAACTCTAGATACTTAAAAAAAAAAGGTATTTTATAACAAACATTTGTATGTAACTTTGCTCCTTTAAATCAGTGGTTCTCAACCTAGGGGTCGTGACCCCTGCGGAGAGTCGTGAAATAATCATTTGGGGTCACCAGATTTAAAAAACAAACACATTTTGAAATGGAGAGGGTTTTTTGTTTACATTTCTGGATTCTCTGAACTCAGGTGTTCTGAAGAAGGTGCTGTGACCTGACCACCTGCCTGTCCTGGTACTCCCTCCATACATCTTCCACGTCTTGTTTTAGTTTCTGATGTGTTTCTGTGATTTAAAATCAAATACATATCGATGAACTGCAAGAAAATTATGTAAAAAAAGAAAAGAAAAAGGGCTGGAACTCAGGACGCGGGTACTCTAGCGATTAGTGCGTGCGCCCCATGTACAGACGCTGTAGTCCTTCAAGCGGGCAGCCTGGGTTCGAATCCGACCTGTGGCTCCTTTCCTGCATGTCATTCCAAACTCTCTCTGATTTCAGACTCTATCCACTGTCCTGTCTCTACAATAAAAGCCCCAAAATAATTCTGAAATAAGGAATGAAGCTGGAACCTGTTTTTTGTTTTTTTTGTGATTTTTGCTTTAAAGATGAGTCACCTTCAGTCGATCTTTTTGATTCATTTACTCGATTCTTTTCAGCTCAAACTGAGTCAGAAAAATAAAAAAAATCTCTCACACAGAACTTCAGACTATCATTCATCATCTGAGAGACGCAGTTCAAACACTCTCACAGAGAGCAGGCATGTAAACAAAGTTCACCACCCACACACACACACACACACACACACACACACACACACACACACACACACACACACACACACACACACACACACACACACACACACACACACACACACACACACACACACACACACACACACACACACACACACACACACACACACACACACACACACACACACACACACACACACACACACACACACACACACACACACACACACACACACACACACACACACACACAAGGTGGGGCCGACAACAAACAATTACCCCGGCGCACGAGGAGGGAGGAAATCGAATATTGAGAAAACAAACAGGAGTGATGTCATCAAAGCTAAATGTTACGCCCTGTGTGAGACACGCCGCACGCTCTCTTCATATTTACCGTTTGCAGCGCCACCATCACAGAACGCACATCGGCTGCTTCACACAGAAACACAAAGGTTAATCTCTAGACAAACAGCGTTACACAAACAGCCCATAATGCAGAGAGATTATAGGGGATGGCACATCATTATATCTCCTAAAGGCCAATGTTTGTAATATTGTTTTGAAAAGAGCAAATGTGACTCAGTGCGAGCTGTGATTTATGAGCGTGTGTGGAGGAGCAGCGTGGCGTGGAGAGCACACTCACACAGATACGGTCTTAGAGACAAACCGGGGGCCCAGAGTCCAAGTCTACACCGACATTCATATTTGAATCTATAGTCCTTTAATCAAAACATTCTCCTGAGATGATCCTCTGACATGCCTGCAGTCTTTAAATTTAGCATCAGGTGGAGAGGTGCTCGGTGAACCATCATTCAGTTTCAGGGACTCTGCTGTGAAGTCTGAGTGTTTGGCTCCCCCAAGAGGACAAACACAGAACAGCAGTTCAAAACTCAGTCGAATAAAGGACTAAAAAAATATCTAACAGCACGCACATCCAAAAAACTTGAGTACCGGGTGCTGGACAAAAAAACAGGAAAAGGTAGACTAAAAGTCTGCACAGCAGAAGCTGCATCACACTTCATGTCAGATGAAGGGCGAGGGCCTGAAACGTGACATGTGGTGATCATTTCCATTAAAGTTTAATTAGAGCCTTTTTTAAGTTACCTTCAAAGCCACCGGTCTCCATAGAAACAGTAATTCTGGTTGACTGATTTGATTGGTTAGTTTGTTTCTGTTATTCTTCTACTTTAACATTTGAAAAAGTTAAGATTATTTCTATGCAACACAAAGTAACACAAGCAAACATATAACCATCAAGATATGGGTGCAGCAGCAGCTCCGGTGTTCTGCTGTTTATAACTTCAGATTGTTTTTGAATGGTTCCTTTGAACAGAGAAACAGCTGTTTCAGGTTTATAAAGTCTAACTTCTGAACAGAAAGGTTTTCTATGAAGAATCATTTTAACTGCATCCTTCATGTTGGCTCAATTGAGCCGGATACTTTTGCAAAACATATTTGAACATTTTTATCGACTTTTATCTTTTTTTATTCAGACAAAAGTTTTATCAAATGTATTTATCAAATTTAAATTAATGCTTAAGAACCAATAAATCCAAATATTCAGTTAAGATCAACAGTGTCTCTTTTGAGCCGAGAATGACAAGATTATTTCATGTCCTCTGCTGCCATCTGGTGGTGATTAGATGGAACTAAATACGGAAGATAAAGAGGCTCTAAGGTGAGCAGCTTTTTAAAATGCTCTGAAATCATTTTAGTCTAAAGATTGAATTCACTGCTGAATTCAGATCTAAAACCCTCTAAAGGATGCACTCATGAACTTTGATACATTTCAGTTTATAAACTGAAACATGTGTTCGACGTCTTCTACTCATCTGCAAGTAAAAATCTAAGAATGACACTTTTCACACCTTTAATTGTGAGAACAAAAGGTGAGAGACGTTTTCTGTACACGTCAGATTGACGTTGAATTTCAACCACAAACTGACCAGAGTGAGTGTGAGAAGAAACCTGATCTCTGTCTCCACCAGAGTGATGAAAGAGTTTACAGGAATCTGCTCTATTGAGGGATCGTTTTTAGACTTATGATTCTGTTAATACAGCTGTTGTTACTTCTTCCACTGGTGCTGCTCAAACCGGTCCAGACATTTCTGCTACAGCTGCTAATCACACGACTCCAGGAGAACTTTAAATCAAGAGTAATACAACAAATCGTCTTTACTGTCAGTTAAAGATTTTCATGCTTTGAATGTTAAAACAGACTTTAAGTGAGACAAAGCTCAATGTAACTTTTCTGTCTAATTTATCTTAAAATAAGATGTGCTCACGTGATGAGTGTCGATATTTTGCAGATTCGTTCAGAATAAATCTGATGTTTTTGAGTAAATCAAGGAAAGAAAACGGATTGAACTTGTAGTTGATGCTAAATTAATACATGAGCTTAACTGAGAACTGATTAAAATTAAAATTCTAAACTGTCTTGTGTATCCCACAGGACTTGAATGCACCATGTGTGTATCTTGTGCTGCATTCACAGACCTCCTCTTAATCATAGGCAACACATTTAACAAAGGTGACTAAATTTAAGCTCTAAACTGCTCAGTACGTGTCTTTATCATAGACTGCAAATATGAATGGATTTTCTTTTGCTAATTACTAACTCTCCAAATAATCTGACTTGATCAGTTTGTGCAGCTACATGACTTTCTCTCTCCTTTGCTGCCATGTTTCTCCCCTCAGAAACACTCTCACCAAAGATTTTCCCGACTTGTTGGAGCCATCATGTAAATATTCCCAGATGGGAACTAATTTTTTTCGGATTATTCCAACATTGCATGAATGCAGTTTAAAGAACTCACCGTGAAATGCTCCTGGGATTTGTAGTTCTCATCGAGGTAGACGCGGGCTCTGCTGTACTCCTTCATGGCATCACTGGACAGCAGCTCTCTGATGGACACAGTCAGATGATAAAAACAGGATATGTCAATCGGATAGGAAGAATCAGGGTGCTGCCAACTTCAGGAACTTTGAGTATAACATACTTTGATAAAACGAAAAATTGAACAGACTCTTTTCAGTGCAGACATGCAGCTGTGATGAAATCCAGCAGGGGGAGACATCACTCGTTTCCAAACATAGAGGGTGTTTGTTTTAACATGAAAGCTTCGTGCAGTTATTAAGCAACATAAAGGCCACGATATGAGCGCTTCACTTACTTGACAAAACTGTCCACGTGTGACATGGACGCCTCGTAGTTCTTCCCTCCGACCTCCTGACAGTGAACGGCCAGGAAGTGAGGCCGGTGTGTCTGAACCGTCTGTGAGAGGAGAGAGAGAAAACACACAAACAGGTTACTTCATGTGCGCTGCAGTGCATCAACAACGACAGTGCGGTGAACTCTTACAAGCTTAGAAATGATGACAAGCTGATCATAGAATAAACTGTTTAAATGAAGACAAGATAAAAGCAACGTAATGCACCCAATAAAAACTTTTGAGTTCAATGAATCACTAAATTTCAATATTTAATCGTGATTAATGCCCTGTGATTGACAGGCGACGAACAGTTCAGGGTGTACCCCGCCTCTCGCCCAATGACAGCCGGGATCAGCTGCAGCCCCCAACGACCCAGAGCGGGAAAAGTGGTAAAGATACTGTAAAGGATGGACGGATAGAATCCTGATTAATCACATTTTTGATCACATAGTTGAAATTCCATTATTTAATTTAAAAATAAAAATTGTTAGGCTTTTATTTTGAATGTTTGTGCTGTCTTTAGCTGAGAGTACTTAACTTGCTCTGTGCTTTTATTTTGAAATAAAGTAAGGCCCTTCTGGTAGACGGAAGGTTAGGACATGAAGTTGAGCACAGAAACAGGAAGTGGTTAGGAATCCCAAACAGAGGTCAAACAGCTCAAAGGAACGGTAACAAAGGTCAATGTGTGATGTCATAAGGTCAATGTGTGATGTCATAAGGTCAATGTGTGATGTCATAAGGTGGATATTACTTTGGACTCGTCAGCTGAGCTGTTTGTTAAAGTGAAATGAGACATTCAGAGATGCAGCAGTGTCCTTCTTTGACATCACTGAGACTACAGGGAGACACTGAGGACGACTATCTCCGGAGACAGTTATAGTCTGAACATTTGAAACATGTTTCTCACATTATGTGACAGTTAACATTTCCTTATTGTCACCCAGCCTGCAGGTGCTACTGTGTCATGTGACTTTGCTTGTTTTTAATACTATTGTCAATAAACTACCGTCACTTTTATCGATACGATCCTGAACATCATTTATCCCTTTCAGATGCAAGGTCATCTGTTTTTGGGAACTCTTAAATAAAGAGAATGTTTAAAATCATTTCCAAAGAATTTTTGCTTTTTCAATCATTTTCCATCATCCGACTTGAAAATTGGTTTATTTTCCAGGTTTTCCAGGATGCTTGTGAACCCTGACATTGTCTAAATTGCTCAAATACAAAGACAGTGCTCCCTTTCTTTTCATTTAGGACAGCATTTTGTTCAAACTATGACTGAAGATCTGTCGTTTCTAAAAGCTCTTTAAATGATGAAGATTGTGTCCTTTTAAAACGTGGCATTGAAAAGTACTCAAGGATCAAACATCTGGAATCTTCAGAAGACAGAGAGCAGCTCTGTTACAGGCAGAGACCTTTAGAGAGCCTGTTGCACACAAGAAACATCGACTGCTCTTCATCCTGCAGCAGGGATCAGTGTGTGTGTGTGTGTGTGTGTGTGTGTGTGTGTGTGTGTGTGTGTGTGTGTGTGTGTGTGTGTGTGTGTGTGTGTGTGTGTGTGTGTGTGTGTGTGTGTGTACACAACAGGGTGTGACGGATGTTCACACATCAACACAAGTGGTGACACATGGCTCCCAGTACAAACACAAAGTGAGCAGGAATAATGTCAGGACCAATCATCAGAGCGAGGGGAAACACTCCGGGCTGCTGGAGAAATTCATCTAAACCAGCGTTCACAACGTTCACTAATCACAACAGATCACTGCTTACAACGTGGTGTCCATACAGTTAGAGTGAAACTCTGCACAAAGGCCAACCCCAAAGGAAGAAGCTAACAACTGAGGAAAAAATCACTTCAGATGATCACAGTTATCTCCTGACATATTTCACACTGCGATACTTAAAATAAGAAACTGAGACGTTCAAGAATAACTTTATTACTCAGATCAGTGTGTAGTCATGTGTGGTAAGACCAAATGTCTTCCAACTGAGGTGAAACTTTTGGAAAACTCAAAATACAGTAAAAACATTTGTCTGGATGTTAATATATTAACAAGATGTCCTTGATGTGTTGGAGAAGGTGCTAACATCAGTTCTTATTTCAATCTAAAGTCCAGTGTTTGTACCTCTACCTCCAGAAAGTGATTGCAATTTGGTAACAAGGTAAAACATCACAGAAACTCTCAGTAAGGAGATTCCATGCTGCCCTCTATCGTGCATACTAAATGAAAATGTGCAGGTCCCTAAGTCTTTACATGAGAAATAATTTGACTTTCTGGCCAAAGTGCTGCAAAAGAAAGTCCTGGAAGTGCGGTGGAAACCACCACACACACTGTCTTTAAATCACTGGAGGCACCAGCTGATAGATATATTGTCCTTAGAACTCTCTGTTGCATGATCTCATGTTGCAAAAGGAAAGACCTCAAGGTCTTCGTCTGAGCTCTCTCAGCTACAGAATCTCTACAGAGAAGAGAGCCCCAGGCTGGATCCGAACCCGGGCCGCCTGCTCAGTGGACTACTGCCTCGGTACATGGGGTGCGCACTGACCATCACTACACTACTGGCGCCCCAATACTTGAACTTGTTGAACAAATTTTGTTATTATTCGGATGTTCTGTTGGCTGATAGTTTTAATATTTTGTCTTATTTCCTCCATTGAATTGCATTTTTTTTTCTTATTTTAAAGGGATGACTTCCTGTAAGCTCCGCCCTTCAGAGTCACAGGACCTCATGTTTAGAGCCAGCCGATAATATCCGCCGATAATAGCATATCCAGTGACTATCGGTATCATTAGAGTTTCATCATTTTACACTAGCAGTTCTCTTTCACCAGCAGAGGGCGCTGTGGTGTTTGATAACTGCATTTGAGAGATCAATGTAATACATGTGTATATCTATATCTAGCTTAAGAAAGATATTGGCCAATATATCCGTATCACATTTTCTTCCCTCCCAAATATCGATATTGGTATCAGCCCCAAAATCCCCATATCGGTCGGGCCCTCCTCATGTTGCTCTCCTCTAACGTCCCGTCGTGCACACAGCGAGGTGTTTGTGAGCACGCTGTCAGAGGTGTTCAGAGCAGCCGACCTCTAATGGAGAATCGATACGGCACAGTGATTTACAGCGCTCACAGGGTCGACAGGACGCGGACCTACATCACTGTCACTGAGAGGGAGTGTGTGTGTGAGAGCAGGAAACAGTCCCTGGACCTGAACCGAGTCAAGCTACTCCACCTCAGTGTTGCATTGTGGCGCCCAATCAGATCAAAGTAATGTACGGCAATAACAGTATGGATTTACCATCAACCTCTGGCTCGCCACTTAGCCCGATGACCGCACGCAGAGACTCTCAAAGTTACAAAGATTAGTGAAGCTATCAGCCCAGGATGCAAAGGTCAAACACTCAAGGAGCTCCCGGCTAATGTCAGACTGACGGGTGTGTGTGTGTGTGTGTGTGTGTATGTACGTACTAACACGCTTGTGCTTGCGCTCAGCGTCTGTGTTTGTCTTTCCAGGCTGTAACTCCAGCTCTGCACACACACACTTTCCAGGAGCTGGTTTCATTACCGCGGCCACCAAACATTGACCCGACTTTACTCAGTGACCAACATCCAATTCATGTCGACTGTGGTTAACAAGAAACTCTGTTGACATTTGACTCAAATTATTGACAGGACAAATATTGTATAAATGAAAGCGGATTTTATGACGGCCTCTCAGACAGCTGCTGCGCCGACATCTTCCTCAGGCTGACGAGGATGTCACACTCTGATGAGTTTGATGTGGAGGTGTGTGTCCTCTGTTTTCCTTTCTTTTTCCATCCTTGCATGCTCCAAATATTCACAACATCTGAACATATGGGAGCGGCCAGTCAAAATTTTCAGATTGCAAGCTCTGTCACTTTTTCAACAAGCACAAGCTGCAGACCAAAGCAAACGAATGCCAATCTCTTTTCACAGATTCTGCAGAAAAATGTGTTGTTGAGTACAGTTGTCTGTTGTTTTCAGAGACCTTGAGTTGTCTGAGTCTACTCCTGGAGCCTATTGGCAGTTACCTGACAATCATTTCGCTTTTAATCAGAAACTACAAAACCAACATCTGCATGTGTGTGTATTAAGGAGATTGTTGTATTGTAATCAGTTTAACAAAAAGAAACTTCATATATACGCCTCCACATATACACACATCACTTAAGTCTGAATTTATTGCAGAACATAAGAAAAATATTTTATGTAAACCAGCAGAGATTTCTGACTCGGCATGCGGACATGTTTCCTGCTTCATGGAGGTCTGAGTCAGTATGATGGGCATCCTTTGTTTCACAACATTCAGATGAGCTAAAGCGGCCGTAAACACCTAACAGCAGGAATTAACATGTTCACAGCCTGGTTCAGAAAATGATTTTGGTCTGAATAGTTCATTATCCGCACACACTGTGCAGGAGGGGTTTGTTATTTTACGGAGGCTGTAGTCAGCCATCTGTTCCTGCAGGGGGCTCTGGAGGCTCATCGGCAGCAGCCGCCATGTTGGAAATCCTGTCTCAGTCTAACTTTCAGTCAACCTAACGACAGAGATCCACGTTCCTTTCTAAATAAAGCCTATGTAAAAGTGGTCAAAGTGATTTAATGATACATTATGTAGTGTAAAAAAAGGAGATTTCATATTTATAAATCAATAATAACTTCTCATTTGTATTTACATAAAAGAAAATAACCTGACATTTTTAAAGATGGTTTCATCTTCACAAACTGCGTCAAAGCTCCTCTCTGTGAGTCAGACTTCATCTGTGAGACACAGAGCATCTTTATGAGCGCTCTAATCAGGACAGCCTGAATCTCATTTCACGCTCTCTATTCAGAGGTGGAAAATAATCTCAGAGATCGGAGGAGAACTGATCGATGACAAGGATTCTTCACTTTTCCGTCCGACTGTCGTGCAGTCGCTGACTGAAGAAACTTTGTGAAGCTACCGTGAGAATTATGGAGCTGATTACATATTTGACATTAAAATCAAGAGAGTTCACTTTGAATACATCCCTGTGTTTCGGGCAGAGGGTCAAC